TTGTTCTCGAAGAAGAAGAAGAAGACAAAGAAAATGTTGATGATAAAAAAATGTAATTATAATTTGGTCGTTTTAATGCAGCCAATTTTGGGAAATGATATATTAATTGTCAGCATTCAAAGACGAGTAAGAAGAAGCATAGATTATTTCAAGAAAAATCTGAAAGCAGAACAATTTTTATGAGAGAACATTTACCAATGATTCAATATTTTTGACTGCATTGAATCACCTTCAAATTTGAGTGAATTTTTTATCAAACAATTTCTTTCGTCAACTTTTTGATTAAAACCACCATTTAGTTAAAGCTATAAAGTTTATATTCAGGAAGAAACCGATAACCATTAATGGCCTTGCATCATGCATTGAATACCTGAATTCAAAGCATAACAATATTTTAAAAGCATAACAATATTTTATTTTCTTAACTCTAACAATGGACACAAATAGAATTTGATTATATAAATATGAATGCTTAATAAAAATTCTTAATTCAAATATTTAAAATATTTTATATTTTTTACTGAATTTTAGTGTAAAAAAATAAAGATGTTTTTGTTTATGCTTAATTGCGTATTATTAGAAATCCAATTTCTGGTGTCGTTGAAAAATTGCACTCTTCATAGTGCTTCATTTTAAACACTTTTTAAAAAAAAAACAAGTAAAAGAGTAAAATAATAATGATGACACATAAAAAAAGGTATTTTTTCAATCTCTGACCTTCAACAATAATCTCTGTATTTGCAGGAAATGCTTCTTTGTTGTATTTTGTTTTTGAAGAAAGATTTACTTTCTCCAATGATTCGCAGCCCTCAAATGCAAATCGATTGATTAAAAGAACTGAAGGAGGAATGTTTATATTGAACAATGACTCACAGTCTTCGAAAGCACTAGTATCAATTAATGTCAATGAAAGAGGAAGCTCCAATTCTTCCAAGGACTCGCAACCAGCGAAAGTTGATTGATTAATTTCTGTTATTGAAGAAGGAATTGAAACTTCGGAAAGAGATGAGCAGCCTCTAAATGCAAACATTCCAATTGAATTGACAGATGTTGGAATTGTGATTGTTTTTAATGAAGTGCACTCACAGAATGCATAATCACCAATAGATTTCACTGATGATAGAATCTTTATCCTTTTTAATGAAGTGCATCCATTAAAAACATAGTCATCGATGATTTCCAATGCAGAAGGTAAGTAAACTTTAATAAGCGATGTGCAATGAGAAAATGCGTTTTTTCCAATTTTTACAACAGAAGAAGGAATGGTTATATTAGTGAGGGAAGAGCAATTTTTGAAGGCTGAATTTCCAATCATTTTCAATGATGCTGGAAATGATATTTCAGTGAGTGATTTACAGCAATAGAAAGCGAAATCATCAATTGAATTCAAAATAGAGTGATCGTCAAAAAATACTTTAGTTAATGATGAACATTTTTCGAAAGAATTAGAAGGAATCGATTTAATTGATGATTCAAAAATTAAATTTTGAATATTCTCGTCATTTTTAAAAATCAAGTCAATTTTATTTATCTGAATTGAAAGCGTAAAATTGCATTCATTTAAATAACTATTTTTGACATCAAGTACTTTGTCATAAAATTCATTAAATGATATGATAGGATAATTCAACAAAAATGAAACATCATTAAAGTTCTTCAAAATTTTAATGAATTTTTTTGAATCATTTACATCATTAGCAAAAAGCATTTCAAGAGCTTCTGAAAGTATTCTGATTTGGAAATCATCGTCCATTTTAGATATCAACTGCTCTTCGTTATAATTCAGTATTTCAAGACATCGGATTGGCTTAAATTGATACTGTTTTAGTAAATATATCAACAAATTATTCAATTGGAAATAGAAATGCTCTATTTTGTTTTCAGGCGTGTATCTAATGATATCTGAAATGATTGATTGTTGGGCATGAATTGGGAGCAAATTAAATGAAATAATATTAATATGTTGTTTGATTATTTCATTTTCTCTTTTAATTGTGTAAATTTCATCAGGACTACTTGCTATTGCATTAATTTTATGTCCTTCAAAAGCCGATGCAATCTTCTGTAATGTATTTGATAATTGTTTGTTTTCTAAGGTCAACTGGACGATCTGTTTTTTCATTTGTTCATTGTCATCTTTATAATAATTCTTCTCTCTTTCTAGTGAAATACTAACTTTCCTTAGGTTTTCATTATCTTTTTTATAATGTTGGTTTTCATTAAAAAGGATTTCTTTTTCATTATTTATCTGTTCATTTTGGATTGTCAATTGTGTTTTTTCTTCTTTTATTTGCTCGTTTTCTGCTTTCAATTCTGCATTTGAATTTGTTAATTGTTCCTTACTTTTAGCTAGATCTTCTTTAATGGCTAAAATTGTATTCTTTTCAGTTATTGCGGCATGAAATCTGATTTCAAGTTGATTTCTTTCTCTTGTTAATTCTTCATTTAATACTGTCAATTGATTTTTGTAATTTTTTAAATCATCAATTTGGCTTTCTAATGAATTCTTTTCAGTGCTTAATTGTTCACAATCATGCGATAATTTGGTAAGAATTGTTGATTGAGATTCTTTGTCATTTTGCAGCTTTGAATTATTTTTTTCTAATTGATTTTTCTGCTTTTCTATTTGTTTGTTCTTTCTCTCAAGTTCTTCTATTTTTTGATCCAATTCATCAATTTTATCGGTGACTTTCGTAACACTGGAAACGTAATCACTAACTCTATCTTTGTCAATGTCTTCCAGGAGAAAATCATCGTTTTCATCATCATCTTCCTCTTCTTCATTTTCAATTTTTATTTTGGAAAGTTTATTGAAAATCTCTGTGAATGTTGGTCTATCGTCCGGATAACTTGACCAGCACTGTTCTATTAAATTCTTGATTGAGTTCTTAATTGGTCCTTTGAATTTTGGTCTCAGATTTTCGTTAACAATTTTGTTTGTGAGTGAATATTCGTTCATTTTGCCATTCTCTTTCATTATTTCAGAATAAGGTTTGCAATCGGTGACAACTTCGTACATTAAAATTCCGAATGAATAAACATCGGCCTTTCTATCATATGCTTCGCCTTGAATTACTTCCGGAGCCATATAAAACAATGTGCCTCCATTTTGGGATTGATTAGCTGAGTCTCCGTATTCGAAGATTTTCGACATTCCAAAATCAGTAACATGAGGCTGGTAAAATTCATCCAATAACACATTGCCTGGTTTTAAATCACGGTGAATGATATTGCGATCATGCAAGTATTTCAATGCTCGAGATACTCCAATAAGAATTATTTGTCGAGATGTGTTTGTGTAATCTTCAGGCATTGATGATCTTTGGATCTTGTCCAGATTTGTGGCTAATGACCCTTTTTCGGCGAATTCCATTATGATTGATATATTGTTATCATCATTCGTATCTTTGAAAGAAAAACCATAAAATTTGATGATCGTGGGATGGTTAACATTGATCAATATATTAATTTCACGGTCAATTATCATTTTGCATTTTTTTTCATCATCATCACATGATATCGTTTTGCAAGCAAATTTTTTTTTATTTTTTTGGACTTTGTAAACAACGCCAAAGCCGCCGCGTCCAACCATTTCCATTATCTTATATTCTTTAATATCAATTACATATTTAAAATATGAGTGTTGAAGCATTATTTAAATTATGAAATAATAAATTTTTTTATCTCTTTTTATGTGTATGTCATTATTTTGATTTTTCTCAAAATTTGAATGAAAAATTTTTAGTCATCAAATTTTTATTTGATATTTTCAAATTTTTAGCGTAGGCCATTCAAATACAAAACATGTCTACTCAATTCTCTAATTAACGTAAAAATGTTTCCACCTAACTTTTTTTATTTAACATATATTCTTTTGTTAAATAACATTGATAATTCAACAATACAAATTAAATTTAGCAACCTCTTCTTTTGATTTTCAATTTTAGGATTGCCCACCATTTAAAATTAAGAATTCTCTTAAAAATTTTAAAAGTGTTTATTCAACTTTTTATTAATCAAAAAAAGTATGACATATCTTTTCTAGTTTTATTTTCACTTTCGGAAAATAACCAAAAGTTTAAATGATTAAATTTGGTCAGAGGAGGGTCAACTTATTTTTAACACAAAAACTCATAGTATAATTGGTTTGGATTTTTCATAAGTGCATATAATATTTAATATAATATATAATAGTTTTTCTATCTAAAATATCTCTATAATTTATTTATATTATTGAGATAAAAATGTTTTATTCCAAATTAATCGAATTTGAATGCCTATTCAAATATTTTTTTCTCTCAATTTTTTCTTTTCAAATTTTAGTATTATAGTTTTACAAATTTTTCTTGATGGGATATTGATATTTTATAAATATTCTTGCATATTTAATCATGTATATAGATTTAAAAAATAATTACTCATACGGTATTTTAAATCAATTTATATATTTGCCTGGGAGAATGTATAATACTAATGATCGAGCGTAACTTATCATGACTCTAATAAAAAATTGGTAGTTGGGATTTGAGATTTAGTCAAATAAATAGATTTATCATACGCATATATATCTTATATATTGTTTTTGAATGATTTGGTGTGTTGAATTTGGGGCAATGTTTGATTTAATAGCATCAGTAATTATTTCAAAAAACTGATTATATTTCAACCATTTTGTAAAAATATTGAATCTCGCATGGTTTATTCTAATTATATTAGCGGATACTTTTAAATCATCATTTGATCTATCTTGAATTATTTGAAATTGAGAATCTCCAATTTTCATCGATTGCCATTAATCAAATCATAAAAGTAATATTTATATATAATTGTTTTTATATTATTTATAAATAAAATAAAATTTTGAATTTATTAATTACATAACGCAAAAAAAGGAAAACAATGAGAAAAAATTGGCCATTCAATTAGTTGACCCTCCTCTATTTGGTCAAATGATTACTTTGTTCAGAAAAAAAATTAAATCAAAAAAAAATATAAAAAATAAGTGACGGATGGATTCGAACCATCAACCCCGAGGTCATGAGCCTCATGAACTTCCTGTTGTTCTACGTCACTCTTTGCTGTTTAAATATTTCTAAATAATACAATGATGTTATGAATTATTATATGTTTATTATATAACAGTTATTTATATTCATTTAAAAATTTCATGCCAATCAAGAATTTGGTTTATTAGAATAGCCAATAGCTTCAAAAAATCTATTGGTATCCATAGATTCATTTGTTAGAAAAGAGAATTCTGAAAGTGGGTTAATATTATCTTTTCTGTTTGGAGATTCGTTCAAGGAATCTGGAATATGTGATGACAAATCAAATGATGGCTCGTTAAATTGATTGGAAAATTTATTGGATTGTCTAGAGTCTAAAAATTTAGATGTGAATTCACTATTATCTGATCTATTTTCTGCATTTATTGATGAAAGTTTGCTTGTCCGACTATTATTTCTAACTCCATTTTTAAGAATACTTAAATTAACTTTAGGAGTATTATTATTATTTTGTTTAATATTGGTAATGTTATTGTTGTTGTTATCATTAATAGCAGAAGGACTAAGTAAATGATTAGTTACTGGTGATTGTGCAATTGGAAATTGAGAAGTTTTTTGAGTTGAAACTGTTGGTGCAGATGTGTTTAAATTATCACGTGATGTTGACCGCCGTTTTTCAAAAGACGCCTTCATATCTGCTGAGTACTTTGTATGCTGATGCTCTGTTTGCTGGGTTTGCTCGCTTGATGTAATAGTATCAGTGATGATCGTTGCTGGTACAGTATTTTGAGATTGAATGAAATTTGCCTGTTGCGGAACTTGAAGATTAGGATTCTCTGTTGGAAAACGAGATTGCTGTTTTGATTGAATTTGTTTTTTGATTTCTTGTGGTTGCTGATATACTTGTTGGGTTGGAGGAATTTGCTGTTGATATGAGTTATTTGCAGACGATTGATGATTTTCAAATATTGATGAAAGTGAAATTTCGAGTAGAACAACAGGTTTACGACTGATTTGACGATTAAGAAAAGTTTTCGAATTAGAACGCTCTATTGATCTTGGTTTTTGAACTTCACTTAATATACTTTGAAGCATTGCTTTTATTTCTTCGTTATGTTCCTCAATTTTTGATTCAAGTTGTCTTCCTTGTTCACTGATTATCTCTCTTAAATCACTGATTTCTTTCTTCATACTATTGATACTTTCATAAATCTCATTTGGAGTTCCTTGAACTTGTTTAGGAATATATGTACCTAGATCATTAGATGTTTGCTCTAAGTTATTAAATCGTGTAGTAATTGTAGTTGGCTTTGAAACAGTAAACGTTGTGGTTAATAGTTCAAACTCTTCATTTTCATGAAATGTAATTCTGTAAAGTTTTTTATTGAACGCAGCAGAAATCTTTTTATGTTTCTGTAAATAAATTGAATATGAAAGTGAATAAATGCGTGGGTCTTTAATTCCATTAATGCCATAATAAATTGCATAAATTGAATTAGGATCCTTAAATTTTTTATCTTTTGGAAATCGATAGGTAGCTCCTGGAATAGAGCAAACTGAAGGAGCATCTGATGAATCTATTTCTTCTATTTCAATTGATGATTTTGGGCAAAACAATGATAAACGAACATTTAACTGATTATTTATAAATGCAACATCAGAAATTAAGGAATAAATATTGTTAGCATTGTATTGATTTGATGTTTCTTCCATCATTTTATAAAAAGTATTTCTGAATTCTTCAATTTCTATGCTATCTGGCTGTTGATATTGAGATTCTGGTAAAATATCAACATATATAGGAACTTCATCTTCACGAACACTAATTTCTGACTCTGGATCAGAGATTAATGTTGAACAGCGAAATTCAACTTTAGAATTTTTAACTTGTACCTGAGCAATTAAAACTAATTGAGCAGATTTTCTTTGGCGACTGATTAATAAAAGTTCAGAAATAAGATTCTCTTCAAATATTATTGTCGGAACCATAGAAGAAAAATTGATCGTAGCTTTTTTCATCATAAGAATGGAAAAATTGGTAAATAAATAAATAAACGTTCTTCTAAATTTTATCTCATTCAAAAAAACCTTTGATTTGAATGCCTTTTCAAAAATATTTTTCATATATAAGATATAAATAGCCTTATTTTTGATTTAATCATGTAAAATATGATATATAAAGCATATTTATTTTTGTAATAGTTCCGTTTATTAATTAATTGAGAAAAGAAATTTTATTCCTCAATTGAAATTTGAAATGATATACAAATATTTAAAAATGAATTTATCTTTTAAACAAAATTATAAATGTATTATCTAATAATATATATTATTAATATTTAACTTTATTAGTAATATTTTTCATACCAATTAAAAATTTATGAATTTAAAATTTGAATTCAGATTGTTAAAAACATTTAATAGCTCATAATCTCATAACCTTCTTGCCTGCATTTTATAAAATTAAAAAACAAAAATATTTTTTTTTATTAAAATTTTATTAATTTCAAACAAAATTAATATATATATAATCAATAATTCAATCTATTTTCAGAATTAGCTTTGATTAAACGTGCAAGAGATTCTGAATAATTTTTCAATTCGTCAAGATCTTCATTTCTCATAAACTTGCATTTTTCTAATTTTTGAAGTGAAAGGGAAAGTTCCTTTCTCTTCTGGCTATTTACAGCGCTAAACGATTCCAAAGATTGAATTGTTTCCTTTGAATCTTTCAAAAGCATTTTCCATTTAATAATTCTTCTTTCAACTTTTGATTTTTTGACCAAAAGGTCAAAATATTGACCTCTTGTTTCAGATTGTCTCAGTTCTTCCAATCTAGCTCTTTTTGCTTCCAGATCAGCGACTGATTTTTTGAGTTGATCTTTGCAATCACTAACTTTATTCTTCAAAAGGCCAACGTCTGTTACAAGTCTTACAACTTCTTGTTTTTCACGATGATCGATATCATAAATTTCATTTTCGATATTAGTTCTTCTTTTTTGTAGTTCTTCGAGTTTTTGTTCTAATTCGCGTATTTTTAACAATATTAAACTTAATTCTTTTTTCCTGCTGAGTATCTCTACAGCTTCTCTTTCTTTGATTAATTTCTGTTTATTTGAGCCCATTAAAGGTGAATTTGCTGAACTATTTGATGAACCAGAATATCTTGAATTAATTGAATTATTCAATGATCCGTTAAATAGCGTATTATTTAATGATATTTTCAGATTTTGCGGAGTATTCAAAAACTTGACATCAGGCGATCCTGACATAATTTGACTTCTCACACTTGCTGAATCACCAGTGCCTTTCAATTTTTCAATGGCCTCTTTCAAGTCAGCAATTTGTTGATCTATAGAACTGTTCTTTTCAATTAAGTCATCTATTTCTTTCGATATTTTTTCAGTCTGATCTTTCAGATCTTTAATTTGATTATTGATTTGTTCTAACTCAGCTAAATCTTTCCTCTTCTTTTCTACTTTTTCAACAAGCAAATCAATTTTTGCTCCTGTTTTCTTTGTTTGGACTATCTGATTACAAGATTCATATCCAACTGGAAAACTAGATAAATCTATATTCCAACTTTGGAGTAGTTTTTCATCAACATCATTTAAATCAGGATCTTGTGATTTAATTTTTTGAATTTCATCAACAGCTTTTAATAAATCATTCTTAATCTTTTCTTTCTTTTTATATTCCTCACGTAGTTTCCTGAGCAAATTCTCTTTTTCTGCATCCTCATTTCTATTCAATGAATATCTTATATTTTTTTCAGTTTCAGAGAAGAAGATATTATTATTCGGAATTTTAATTGGTGACTGATATTGACGAGATATGTTTGCTAGAGGTGAGTCTCCAATTGATAAGAAAGTAGGAGGTGAATAAGAGTATTTTTTAACGACTCTTTTAATTTTATGTTCTTTTTTATGTTTTCTTTGATTTTTAATCCTTCTTGGCGTTCTGACAATTTTTTCTTTCTGTTGTTTTTTAGGAGGATTATCAACTTTTTGTTTATTTTTTCTATTTTCTTCTTTTTCTTCAAAAATTGAAGAGCTTAAAAAATCTTCTTCTCTTCTTTTTCTTTTTTCTTCCTTTCTTCTTTTCTTTCTTTCATTTTCTTTTTCTTCCATTTTTGATGAACTTAAGAACTCTTCTTCTTTATTTTTATCTTTTTCTATTTTTCTTCTTAATTTGTCAAATTCTTCTTCTTTTGAAGAACTTAAAAAATCTTCTTCTTGAGTTTTTTCATTTTCATCTTTTAATTGTTCTTCGGATTCTTCTTCATCACGAGATAAATTCACGAATTCCAGTTCTTCATCTTTATCATCTTCATCCTTCTTTCTTTTAATTTCATTTATTGAATCAGAAAGGAATTCCTCTTCATTTTTCTTTTCATTTTCCAATTCTTCATCATTTTCTTCATTCATTGAATTTGAAAGGAATTCCTCTTCATTTTTCTTTTCATTTTCCAATTCTTCCTCGTTTTCTTCATTTATTGAATTTGAAAGGAATTCTTCTTCATTTTTCTTTTCATTTTCCAATTCTTCCTCGTTTTCTTCATTTAAAGAATTAAAGACTGCTTCTTCTTCTTTTCTTTTTCTTTGTTCTTCGTCATTTATTTTATCATTCAAATTACTTTCATTTTCTTCTAAAATTGATGAATTTAATAAGTCTTCTTCGTTGTTTTTCTTTAGTTCTTCTTCATTGTTCTTTTCTTCTTTGAATTCTTCAATGATGGCTGCATTCAACGAGGCTTCTTCTTGTTGCTTTATTTGCTCTTTCTCTTTGTCCTTTTCATCTTTGTATTCTTCAATTATTGACGAGTTTAGTAAGGCTTCTTCTTTGTCTTTGCTCTTCTCTTCTTCGCGATCTTTGTCTTCAAAATATTCTTCAATGATTGACCTGTTCAATAACGCTTCTTCCCTATCTTTGGCAAGCTCTTCTTCTCTGTCTTTCTCAGCAAAATATTCCTCAATGATTGACCTATTCAGTAGAATCTCTTCGTTTTCTTTCTGCTTCTCTACATCTTCGGCAGCATCATCGAATTCGTCATTATCGTCCGAAACT